TCCTATAATTACGAATTTAATTTTTCGGTACTTTATTTAAAATGTATAAATATAATGTAGTACATTAAAAAATATTGTCAGTTAATTATAATAAAAATAAATAAATTAAATTTATATTCGAACGAAACAAAGGAACTGGATTTATTTATACGAAGGAGCCGGATTTATTATATCCGGATAAAATGTAAATTCGAATCGGAAGAAACCGGATTTATATTCGAATGCCAAATATCGGTTCTAAACTCTAGATCCACTCCAATTTTGATAATAATATCATAGTCATCTGCATCTTCAAGTAATTGAGAAAATTTTTGAGATAATCCGGGGAAAAATTCATAAGCCATTTATACTTGTGAAAATCATTCGAATGGGTGTATAAAATTAATTATTGTGATTACATAATCAATTAAATTGAAATCATTGTGACCGCATTAAATAATTTATTTTTTTCTCACACCAACTTCAGTCAAATAGGAATTAATAAATTTCAGTATTAGTTTCATTTTGACTAACGAAATAATTTAAAATAAGAAAATAAGTTGAGAACAAAGACGAGGAATTATTTTTACGACACATTTTTGATAATTCACGGCTAATTAGAATATGTAAAAAAAAAAACAGAAGTCCTAATGAATCATATTTGACTGTTATCAAAAAAAAAATAAAAATAAAATAAAATAAAATTTCCTTTAATCCCATTGAATAAAAATCGTACGATCAGCAAATTTTGTTTATAATAAATAAATAAATAAAGGTTTCTTAGCATTTACTGAAATTTTTTTTTTTTGGAATAAACTGCGCTACATATGGTAAATGATCTTCGATCCGTGCATGCATTAACGTAATACGAACAAAAATTTTTCACACAAAAGGTTAATTTTTTATTTAAATGGACATAAAAATGAGGTGACTTTAAATGCTTTCTTTTTTTTCCCCCTCACACTTTGGGAAATAGTACTGCGGAATTAAATTTTTAAGATACTGCGGAAAATAATCATTCGATAATTTGATAGTTTTGAAGCTAAGCTTTCAACTACGTTTATTTCCTTTACTTTTAAATGTCTAAATTCAGCAAGGATATCCTTTTCTTGTTATTCGAAGAATTGCAGAATGATTTAAAGTCTCTCTATTCATGCCTTTTGGTGAATACGCTTTGGTGTGAAACTGCGGTCCCGATTTTATGGAGAAATCCTTGGTGTCATGAAAATCATTTCAACTCTCAAAAAACAAATTCGTTGTACTGCATTGTCACCTTCTTTTTACCCAATATATTTAAGGATTTTCTCAAAAGTCAAGGAATTCAATTACCTCAAGTATCTCATCGATCCCCTTTATTTGACTATTTGTCCTTCTGCAGGAACATCAACGCAAATGCTATTAACAATATGATTTCTATCGATTCTTCTTTGACCTACCAATTTCTTTTGCAACAAGAAATCTACAGTCTTCTCATGAGGAAATGTCTAGGATTAAAGTACTTGGACATGAGATCGATCAAACATCAGATATTTTATTTTCCGGAAGCTAGGACCTGCCTTTACTCACTCTACGAATTAACGTGTGATGTATCAATTGATCCTACATACTTTTATAGATTATCATCGATTTGTCAATCAATACAAGGGCTTGTCATTATCAATAAGGAAACAAAAGCTAATCATGGTATTGTTAAGTTAATTGAGGATCAAACAAATTTAAAATATTTTAAATGGGTGGATGATTTTAAAGAAGTTCATTTTACTGAAGCTTATTATAGAGAAATCTTTCTAGCCTTGGAGAGTAAGGCGGATACTCTTGTCCATTTGATAACGAGTTTTACGATATATGATAAATATTCTACACCTCTACCAATAAGATTTTCAAAATTTTACAACCTAAAAAAGTTAACAATTGATGTTACTTATCTCGAATTTGGTTTTCAATTAGAAAGTTCCTTCTTTCAAAATCTTGAAATTCTTCAAATCGATTATATTAGAATCATCACGATCATTCATATAATTAAGAACAGTAGAGGACGACTCAGAAAAATTTTGGTCAATGAATTTGAGTACGCTAAACACTTTTATGAGGATTCTCTTGATCTTATCCGTGCAATCTCTGAAAATTGTCCTTTAGTTGAATATTTGTCACTTGTAGTCTCATCGTCAAAGGAACATTTCGTTGAATTTGAGAAATTACTAAGATCTTGTCAAAAACTGAAGACGTTATTCATCGTGAACAGGGAGAAATACAGGTGGCTTGGAGAAAAGTTCGCCTACGAAAAGAGCTTAATTAAGTCGGCATCAAATAATCTAAGGGAAATTATATTTGGTGAACATGTTCTATTGAATTATGGATTCAAATTTTCATTGGAAGTCTTAGAGTCTCGGTTAGAAAACTGGAGAGATCGAACTGCGCTTTCTACAAACAAAGGTTTTAGATGCGGTTTCTCAAAGGATCTTTTCGAAAATAGAGTAATAGATTAAAAAGACAAAAATGATATTCTTATTTTATTCACATGAAACAAACGTGCATAAATTTTCTATTTTGTTGAAAACAATCTCATTTGATCGAACAACAAAAAATTTTTGGACTATCGTGAACTTTTATTCTTTCTACGTTTCGTTAGATGGTTATGTTATTTTTGGACACTTGTTTTTGGTATAAATTTTAACTTGTAAAAAGATATTTCCTTGGGATTACCGTTTCAATTGGAGGAGTGATATTATTTTCTACGGTGGGTAATTTGAGAAGTTTGATTGGAGTCAAAAATAAAATCACGTGTGGATAAGAAAACTTTTTTTTTATTGTAAAGTAAAATCTATAAATTATGATGATGATCGTAATATTTCACGTGATGCTCAACTTTTGATGGCTGATTCTTTTTTTATTTAGTATCACCCGCTGAGACGGATTTTATCTAGATAGATATATTTATTAAGATGTTGTTGGCTTGGTATCTGTAAACTAAAACGATTAACTTTTAATTCGATTCGTTGAATTAAATACAAGACTTTATCACAATCACGCCTATGTGAAGACACGACAAAGGTAATAGCAAATGAATTTATAAGATTCCTTTATTGAACTCTTGTTTATCCTAAAAACCCTATCTCAAGTTACTTTTCAACTCAAGGAAAAATACAAGATATTTATACAAAATAAAATACTATAAAATATATTAAAATAAATAAATAAGATAAATATAAATACTCTACTAACTAAGATATAATTAACACGTATAACGATTATAACTAATCTATCTTAAAAAACTAATAGATCAACGTTGACCACTTTGTCATATTGGTCTACTTTATCCACTTCGTCAACTTTTGTTAATCATTTTTGATCACATGACTAATTAAGGCGCAGTCAAGGATCACGGCTTCAATGTCCATGCTCAACAATGACATTCTTGTCATTTGAAGAATTACAAAATGATTCGAGAACTCTTTTTTTCGTGTCTGTTATTTAATAGACTTTGGTGCAAGATAGCGGTTCTGATTTGTGGAAGTATCCGTGGTGCTATAAAGATATAAATTATCGGAGAAATTCTCTGTTCTACATCACCACGTATTTTTTATCCTATTAAACCAAGGGATCCCTTTACTTTCAAATTCTCACAAGTTACCTTTATTTGACTATCTGTTAGCAATGTAAAAATTATAAAAGGTATAATCTCTACCGGTTCTTATGAAGAATTTTTTTTACAAGAAATTTACCTTCTAATCATGAGGAAAATCTCAGAGTTAAAGTACTTGGACATGATCATCAAATATTTTATTTCTTGATTAAATTTTGTAAAATATTATGCGATACATCCATCAATCCTAAATACTTTTATGGATTTGTCAAACTATACAAAGGCTCATCATTATCAATAATAATCTGAAACCGAATGATAGAATTGTACAGTTAATTGGGGTTCAAAAATATTTAAGATATTTTAAATGGGTGGATGATTTCAATGATTTTAAATGTTTCATTTGTCAAAGGAAACATATTATCAAGTCATTCTAATACTTAATCACTTGGTAACGAGCTTTCAATAAATATTCAAAATTCAAAACTTAAAAATGATAAGGATTAAAAATTTTTATCAAAATTGTGAGCATCATACTAAACCCAGCAAGATCACTCACATCATTAACAACAGTAGAGGACGACTCAAAACAATTTCGGTCATGATCACTTTTATGAAGATTTTCTTGTTCTTATTCGCACAATTTATGAAAATTATCCTCTAGTTGAGCATTTGTCACTTGCATTTTCATTATCGGAGAAGCATTTCATTGAATTCGAATTAAAAACTTGTCAAAAATTGAAGACGTTTTAAGTTTGTAAAATCATGAATGAAAAAGATAAATTATCCGTAGAAAGAGCGTTCGCATATTGAGATGAGTTATTAAATGTATTGGCTAAATCAGCACACGGTAATATGAGTGATATGAGTGAGAGTGCATTCCATTCGATACATTAAATACATTTTACATGTTACCCCAAATTTAGATTTCATTGTAATCTTTGGAGTCTTTTAGATAGGTCGTATTACACTTTCCATTTTATAACCGTCTACATGAAAAGTGGTATATTAAACGGAACGAACATTTTGAAATGCGTTCAATACTTGGTTTAAATTTTAATTTTGCATTTTATATATATATGAATTTTTAAAGAAAAACTTCTACTTTTGCTTATCCATTATTCATAAAATTTTAAGCTCAATAAAGATATGGTTTTTGAAATATTACAAGTCTCTGTTAGTTAATAGTATAGCCTGTACAAATGTTGATGATGATAAGGGTCTACATTTAATTTCGCAATACTATTTATTCGACTCTTCAGGTGCACTGATGTAAATTTTAACGGTTTTTAATATCTTTTGTGACAAGAAAATTTATTAACTCATGAGAATAAATAGCTAGCCTGTATTCATCTTATGTAAAACCAAATGTGATTATAACAAGAGTTTCAAGGATATTTATGAACCTTCGGAATTTATTATGCGTTAATTTTTATTTATTTTATAAATTAGAATATATTGAATTAGAATAGCTTGCGTTCGTAGTCAATTTATCATAATTCAAAAGACATTAGTTAACATAAAAAATAAAGAAAATGCTAGTTTGAAATAATTAATTTAAAAAGAATATATTATAATGACTGGCAAATCGTGTCATTTCATAGAATTGTTTTTCATTTGTACAGTATTTGCTCGAGTGATGGAAGTTGTTATATTTTAGGTTTTATATATGGCCTAATAAAATTACGTAGGATCATAATTAATGTACTGAATACACATAAATTTAATTAATCCAAATTCTGAATAAAATTTTCTAACAACCTATATATTGATTCTACAACCTCGTTGTTTTTTAAATTTTGAAGTTTATTCTGAAAAAAAATAAAAAATATTTAAATAGAACGTTATTTAAATGTTTCATTTATATCTGTCTGCCTGGGACTTTCCCGAGAATTGTTTTTGACAAATTGTCCCTGTGACTTATTAAACATATTGTAACAATCACGTGTGAAGTTTGTCGGCTGTCTAATGACTTTTTAGTTAAATATATTCGGTAGCTTGATTTTTTAATTGCAGAGACTTTTTTTTTTTAACTATTGTTTTACATCGTTAGAAGGAATTTCCAATTCTTATAAACTTGTTCCAGGCGACAATCCTTACGTTTGAATTGTAATTTTAATTTGTTATTCAATAGGAAAATAAATGTAAAGTAAGTGGTTTCTCAATACATTTATTATTTATTGATAATTAATGACTAAATAATTAAATATAATTTTCGTGTCTTTACATATGACTTCCTGGAGATGGAATACGATACAAAAAAAAAAAAAAATATCAAAGATTGATGCTAATTAAAAAAATGGTTGTCGGCATGTTCTGTAAGTCAGATTCTTCGTCTTCAACTTCTGATTAATAACCAAATGTATTGATAAGTCAATAAATATCAAGAAAATAATTCCAATTGATAATAATGTCAAGGTAACCTTATGTATTCATTTTTAGTGATTTCATTTTTTTCAAGTTACCACGAACATTTTTATAATTTCTATTTTTTTTTTTAAAGAACTTCACTCTGGAATATCAAATTGGCGCCTGGCGAAATTAAATTGATCTTCAAAGTTATTCCTTTCTAAACTACAACTTGAGCTTATCCTTTTATTTTAAAAAATTAACATATGATATAAGGTATATATCATTTTACATCTTGAAAACTATAACATAAAATATCTCGCATGTTTTAAGGATCCACCACGCCACGCATTATTCTTATATGTGGGTTAATAGAATGTCTAAATTGACAGATCGAAGTAAAGAAAGACGGTCAGATATAATGTTTATATTAAAAATTATGGTTATATATACTGTGTGTTCTGGATGTTCTCGCTTGATTTATACTGAGCTTAAAGAAAGAATGATAGTGATAAGTTATGAAGAGAATTAATGATGTGAATTTTTTGACTTAATAAAATTATGAGAAAGTAGTAATCAAAGAAACGTCCACTTTTTTTTTAAGAAAAGCAAATTAAATTTAGTTATATTTTAATTTATTTTAATAATCATTTTATCAAATTACTTTAGAAGTTGATAGGAATATAATGTAAAGCGGTGTTAGAAATTGGACAATTTAGACAATTTTATACAGTTTTAGATATGTTATAGACACATTTTTCTGTCTAAAACTATTCAAAATTATCCAATTTTCCAACCCTGCTGTATAAGAATAAGAATATTAGATAATTGCTAAGCATGAAAATATTTTGTTAATATTTGATAATTTTTGTTTTTTCTTTCTTAACTTATCTGTATAATTTAAAATAATATTCTAAATTTAAATAATTCTAATAATATACCAATTAAAAAAGTTAAATATTATTATTTTATTTAAAAAATTAAATTAAAGTATAGTTTTAATAAATAAAAAAAAATTTATTTATAATGATAAGAATTATTTATATTATTTTTAAATATAAAACTGCCATTTAAGGTAAATGTTTATATATCAGACTCAAATTATATAAATTAAAATCTTAAAATACATTGCTATTAGCTTCATATTATATAAAAAATGCTAAATAATATACTTTATTTTCTTTATTGATTATTAAATTAGGATTTATTAATTTTACTTTAATTTCTTATTAGCTAGTATAATTGAGATTAAGTTAAATAATTTAATATCAGTATAATATTGATGATATTTACAATTTTTATTTATTTATGGTATTTTTGATAATCATAATTAATTGATAAAAATCAAAGTAAACCTAATAAATTATTATTTAATGATTTATTTCCTAATTTCCTAATTTTATAATTTTTATAATATTATTTAAAGGATCATATGATATATCATTTTGAGATTTTTTGATTTTACAATATCAATTTAATGATTATATAAAAGATATTTAGCAGATTTTTATTCAAAAAAAGCAGTTTTTATCAAAAAAATATTAGATGGTTTACTTTCTAAAATATTAATTTGAAATTTTATAAATGTTAGTTTCAATTAAGCAGTACTATTCAGGTTGAACTTGAGCTACCATTCTATCAGTTTACTCTTTGATCTATATAAAAAGAAAATAAAATTAAAAAATAATAATAATAAAAATAATGAAAATAAGCTGATTCATCCTACTTTTTTATTTTGCAACTTTTCACAATTGTGTTTTTCAAAGTATTATAAGTTAGAAGTTAAACTCTTATAATAAATAGAGTTTATAATAAAATTTTAATAATATTAATATTTGCTATAAATTTCATTTTGAAAGGTATATCATTTATTTTTAATAAAAATAAAATAAAAATTAGGAATGTTAAATTGCTAAACCAGTTCAGCTTAAGTTCGGCTCAATACTGCATTAAGCTTAAGCTTTTTTGAGAAAATAAGCTTCTGAGCGATTGTGCTTACTATATTAGTTAAACACAGATGTATTATATAGTTAGTCTTGATTTACTTAAGCGGGTTAGTGTAAGCTCGCTTATCTATTTTAATATATAATAAATCTTTATCAGATTTTATTGGAGTATTTTTATTTTTATTTTATTTTTTATTTCAATATTATTTATTATAAATTTTAAATACATAATTATTGATTATTCGAATAATTTTTAATAATATCTGCTTCATGGAGCTATTTTGATCAAACGCGCTATATATATACTTTTTTAAGCTCAAATTAACAAACATGTTAAGCAAGCTCAAAGCACGTTTAAAAGAATATTAAAGCTAGTTGAAAAAAGCTTGTGCTTATACTCAGTTTAAATATGCTTTGTTGAAGCAATTTAACATCCCTATTAAAAATATAAATCATAAGAAATATTTCAGATAAACTTTTTCACTTATTTTGCGAAAGATTTTATTCTTTATGCTTTTATTTTTGAAAAACTGTGAAATTTTATTAGATAAAAAATTATTCAAACAAATTTTACTAAAGGTCTACATCAATGTAACATCGCGTACGTGAATGAAAATTTAAATTTACAAGATCGACACCAATTTTGTGAAACAAATGCTGTTATATATCTAATAATTCCTTTCTATCAAAAAAAAATTTTCTCACACTCTTACCACTCGAGAAAAAGAAAAAAAAATCCCTAGATAAATACTGTACTCATAAATTAAGATATAAGTGTCGGCAACTCTTTTAGAGCGGAACGATATTATTCTTAATTTAATATGAACAGAAAACCTCCCGCTCCAAGTTGTGTTCGACTTTCCGCCGCTAGTAACCCATTCTTCGGAGTGGTTAGGCAATTTAGCGGGCCACTTGGGTGTCCCCCGGAATGGGGTGACTGGGAGCCTGGAACTCCCATTTCCCATATCACTCTTAGGAGTTTAAATCAGTTTTCATATTTTCGCTTATTACTTCGCAAACATTAGCTTAGTTTAAATTTAGTTTAGTCTAATTAGTTTAGAACAAAAATTTAAATAATTTGAATGTGGTTTTTTTATTTATAATATATATTTTTTCTCGTTGACTAAATTTTTTTTTTTATTTTTTAATTTTCTTACAGCATTTCCAAGCAATAAATCCCAAATGTTAGTTTGATAGAGATTTATAATTTAGATGGTTATTACGAGCTTGGAGTTGGAATCCTACACAAGCAGAAGTTCGCAAAGCTTATTAAAAATTATACATTCTAGTAAGGCACCGTAGAAGAATTTGTTGACGGATCAAGGTCGAGTTGAATGCGGTATTAATTTGGGGTCATGTTTATTTGAATGAGAAATCTGGACGGATAATTTAGGAGGACAAATAGATGTTGATAAATAAAATGTTTATAAAGGAACAAAAAATTTTGAATTTCTAGAATTTATTATTTTGATTTTGATATCTTATTAATCTTTTTTTTTTTTTTTTATTTAATCGCGTTATTTGTTTGAATAAATAAAATTTTGTTTTGAAAACGCTGACATTAATAAGTTAATATAACTTGAACGTAGCATATTAATCAACTTTACGTTCCCAGCAATGATGTTTATAAGCTTTGGCAAGTAATAATCAATCGGATGAGCACGCTCAAATTAATGTTATAGTAAATCTAAACGTAACAAGTCGAGCTTCTCGCTTCAACAATCATAGTCCTCTACCTTAAATTACTCACAAACTCCTCGAGTCTCACGACGTCAAATGGTCCGACATAATGGCACTCCAGATCCAGTAGTTGCAAGGATCGAACCTCACAATAAATTCTTACGGGACACAATAATAAGGATTGAAACCATATGGAAACTTCTATGACGATTTATTTGGAAGGATTATATTTTTATTATATTTTTATTTTGATCTTAATTATGTTTAAAAATTATTTTGCTAAAATTGCAAATTGCTTTTTTATTCGGTTAGTTTCAGATCAATGACCGATGCTCTAATTGAAGAGCGAAAGATAAAAATATTTTAATTATTTAATATATTATATATATCAATTACTTTTTAATTTGTAAAATTACTTTTAGGAATATCATAATACTTGGGATACATCCAAGAAGGATTTTTGGGTCGCTCTGGCCCAAAATGTAAATAATAAATGCAGGAAAAATTTTTTCTGGTGGCTAATGCCAGAAAAATTTAATTCATTGGTAGTTGAATATGATGTAAGTAAAATGAAAGAATGGTAATAAAAAAAAATGCATTTATACAATTTTTGTTTCAATTTCTAATTGTGAAGTTCTCATTTTTTTATCGGATCTGTTGTACCCCAAATGCGTTGATGTCTAAAACGCGCATTTGGGATATCCCAAATCGGAATGCGCAATTGGGTTATCCCAAATGCGCATTTTGGACATTAACGCATTTGGGGTACAACAGATCCATCCGCTTATATTTCGTTCTTGTTTATATATTCACAAATATTTAGTTACTGTCAGACATTACAATATGTCGATCATTTACGTGAGTAACTAATTATATTAAATTTCAATTTTTAGTGAAGATTTTTCCCTTTTCTATTGACTGCCGCCCATGTATTGAGCGAGATGATAAAAAAAAATCATGTTGTAAAAATTAATTGTATTATATACAATACACTGTATATAAATAATGAAGTGATGTTCCGAGACAAGAGAGATCGACTGTTCCTAGATCGACTGCAGTTATAAGAATATACTTATTAAGTTCAAAGAATAAAATAAAAAAAGAACAAATTGAGAATTCCGATTATGAAAATCGTAAAATTAAATGATTATTTAAATGTTGAATGAAAAAAAAAAAAGAATTAGTAATCCGAAATGGTTTTGTCAAAAGAGTATATAAGGTTTACCCGACTTTTTGACAAGGGAAAAAATTATTTCAATCATGAAGAAAAGTTTAATATACATTCTTATACATTTTTTATCGGCTGTTATTGCTGATTGGATCACCGTAGAACATGATTATAATATGTGCGACCAAGTCGTGGATTCTAAATATGCGTCGTTCCATATAGACGATGATGGCATTACTTATTCGACGTCCCTTTTGATCAGGGATGTTCAAACTATAAGGCATGAGCCACCATTAACATCTTTAAACATCACTATGTGGGGATGTACTTATGATTGTAAATTCAGCTTTTTTGTGAATATAAACAGGAATAATCTTACAGTTTCGTCGTATACCGAAAAGGACCAAAACAATTACAAGTGTAATTTAAGTAATTACACAATGAAACTTATTCCGACCCCTAAAATTACATATAAACAAAAAACACCTAATCCAGATCATGTATTTCCAACTGATCTAACTGCCCAGTATTGCAAAGAAGGCAAACACCCAGATGCACCCGGTTTTCAAATTAATCAAACAGAACATATAGCTGAATGCATTGATTATTTGACTGGTAATGAAGTTGGAACATACGCTGCATCTCTTCAGTTCGGTTCAGGCAGTTCGTTCAATCCAGACTATTATCCTGTTGCTACATATCACATGATTAATTCGGCAAACAAGCTATTCAATTATTGGGAGAGACACCATCGAGGGTTCCATGATGCTCTTCAAGAACTAAGTATTAAAATGACTCCCGATAATCTAAAAGAATTGATCCCACCACCGCCGCCACCTCCTAAGACAAACTTGCTCGCAATGATTATAATTCCTATATCCGCTGCCATTACTTTAATTGCTCTTCCTACGGTTGCATATTACTTCGGCGCAGCAATGTTTAGTGAGTTCGTGGCAACCACCTCCGAAATCGCTGCCGAAATTGGTGCTGCAGAAGAAGTTGTAGCATCATCAGTTGAAGGATCGATAGCCAGTGTTGATGCGGAAGTTTGGATAGAAGAAGCGGTGGAAGATGTAGACAATGTCGCTATTTTTGAAGATTACGAAGATGTATTAGAAGATAATGCAATGTTTAGAATAGCGTCAATCTATGATAGAATAGAAAACGGGGATTTTGATGATTATCTTTTAGATTTGTATGATCATCCCATTATAGAAAAGAGGGATACGGTTCCGAATAAATTTGGATTTTTTACGGCTAACATGATGAATATAATCTTTCTTCCAAGTTTAATGAACAGTGTTCATCAATCATTTACCGGAAATGGGCAAGCCTATCCAGATATTTCATCATATCTATCATCCGCAAGTGAACATCTCCAATTTCATTTTGACGAAGCATTACACAATAATTTTTTTACTTCAAACAAGTCAATATTAGCTAGTTTTACTGTTAATAAAATGACGCATAATAAAAAAATGCTTGACAATGAAGATGACGTATATAATTCTATTAAAAACAGTACATATAACACTATGGCGGCATCAATAATAAGCGCTACCTTAAGAAAGTTTAATGTTGAAATATGTGACCCAAAACCTTCATTTTGCGAACTACCTTGTGGTAATTCTGGTCATATTTATTGTCCAATAGTCGGAAATAGTACTAATAGCTGTGTAATATCTGCCACAGATAACCAAGTAAATGAACTTAAGTTTCTTCGAGATCCCTTTGATATATGTTCAAAAGCTAATAGCACTGGTTGGAATATAACCTATAATTCCAATTGTGATCGTAAACAGTTCCAATGTAAAAAATAGATCAAACGTGAATACAATTTTTTAGTATCGATAATATTCATTAATTAATCCGCATTATTATTATGAATGTTAAGATTTTATTATTATTTGCAAGCTATTATTTATTTAACTTCTAATTAATAAAATTTATAATATTTAATTAAATTTATATGAGATGGTATTATTTAGAGAGGAATTAGCTGCAGTTTTAACGGAATTTTATTCTTAATAAGTTATAAATATAAATTAGAATTTAATGATATTAATTGAGAGAGATAAACTTATATAACTTACGATGAGATATTTATCATCATAGCCAGCTGTCGCAAAATTTTCAAAAATTATAGAGATAGTGTTGTGTAGTGCAGGCAGCGACTAAATCATAAATTTAAGCGGTTTAATATTACTTACTGTATATTAATAATTTTGGATATTTGGATAGTAAAAATAATCAGCAATTACAACACAAAAAGTTAGCTTGCAGCAAAATTTTTATAATTGAATCAATCATATAATCTAAGTTTTGGTCGAAGCTCAGAACTTAAAGCAAAATCTAGCATTTTTACCATAAATATATTAGTTATTTTGTTAAAGTGAAACCCTTTCATATTTTCAGTCAATTTTTTTTTTATAAATATGCTATGTTATAATTTTAGCATATGGGGGCGGTCAATAGAAAGGGGGAAATCTATATTAAGCTAGTTTTGTTCACATGACCATGATCAGTAGAGTGAACCAATAAAAAAATTTTTGACTAAAAAATGGATTTCCTGACCGCCTCCCATATATTATCTTAATCTGAGCTAATAACTTATATCAATTTATGTTTAATATGAATAAACTAGAGAGTTATGCCTATCGCAACTATTAAAATTTTGCTTATAAAATATATATATAAATTTATTAAATGGCTATGGTTAAATCAAAAAGTAAAAAAAAAAAAAAATAATAAAATTATAAAAAATGAAAACCTACAATAATTATAATAGTAAACAAATATAATATATTGCACCTACTTCCAACAAGCTAAAGTATAAAGAAAACTCGATATTTTTGTAATCCAACCCGATTAAGATACAATAAATAAAATTAACTGAAAAAAAAACACTTTTATGGATACAGCCCAATGAGGAACATATAGAAAAGAAAAGATGCGCATGAATTTTTTGAAAAATTCGTTAAATTGTTGTAGCCTGGTCGCAAATCGTATTTCGTCTCAGATGACCTCACGCTGCGGCAATTGTCATGTAACATATGTAAAAGTTTGAATTACTTTATTAAAATGTATCGAATAAATTATTTTTCATAACTTATATTATAAAGTTTACTTTATAAATAGACCTGTAAGTTGACCTTGAGTCGACAGAGTTCGATCAGATAGTGTTCTTAATAAGTCTTGGGATTATACTTATAACTCTACAGATTAATAAATTTACTATTTAAACTTTCTTGTTTTCAACATAGGATTGATCGTGATAACTAACTACAAATAATTTTTGTTTGTTAATCGTTTATTTCTCTTATGAAAAGCTTCGAGATAATTGAAATATTAAGTTACTTAGTTTGTTAACTTGGTTTCGGTACTATCCCAGGCCTAACACTGGAAATTAAAAATATTAAATGATTGCTGCGACCCGCAGCGAACGATCCAAAAAAAATAAAAAAAAAATACGGCTTAAATAATTTAAAAAAGAGATAATCAAAAAAAAAAATGAAACTTATCTATGTATCTAGCTCGAAAAAAATTCGTCCAAAAAAAAAAAAAAATTAAAAATGAAATATTAAAAAAAATAATAAGAGAAAAAAGCAAAGACGAAAAAATATTCCATCATTGCGATCCCAAACAATCTAACCTAACTTAAAATGACCCAATCTGAAGAAATATTTAATTATTTAGTTTTATCGTCGCGATCTTCCTTTTTTATCCAGATCAAAGAATTAATGAAAATTTGGGATAAGGCATAATAATAAATAATTGTTAAATTAAACACAGAACAGATTATTCTTAATTTACTAATTAAAATATCTATAATTAAAGCTCTCTATTACGAATCTCGATGTTTGGAGATTACCATTCGAGAGAATGAAAGAATTCGGTAATTCCTTAACGAAATTAATTATAATAAAGTAATGACATTCTTGTTATTTTTATTATTAATTAATAAAAATTTTATTATTTTTTATTATTTAAATACCTTTTTAATTGTAAGTTCCAGAAAAAATTTTTTATATATAATTTACTATGTAATTTACAGTAAATCGGGTGTCATTTTCCAAAGTGACTGTACAATACATAGAAGGTAGAGAATTTAATAGTGAGGTGGATATTGATAAAATTAAACTTCATATAATTTTAT